CTTGTTTCACGTCTCTCCAAATTGAACTACAACACTACACTGCTACACTACTACACTGCTACAACACTACACTGCTACACTACTACACTGCTACACTGCTACACTACTACACTGCTACACTACTACACTGCTACACTACTACACTGCTACAGCACTACACTGCTACAGCACTACACTGCTACAACACTACACTGCTACACTACTACACTGCTACACTACTACTGCTACAACACTACACTACTACACTGCTACAACACTACACTGCTACAACACTACACTACTACACTGCTACAACACTACACTGCTACACTGCTACACTACTACACTGCTACACTAATACACTGCTACACTACTACACCGCTACACTACTACACTGCTACACTGCTACAACACTACACTGCTACAACACTACACTGCTACAACACTACACTGCTACACTACTACACTGCTACAACACTACACTCCTACACTACTACACTGCTACAACACTACACTGCTACACTACTACACTGCTACACTACTACACTGCTACAACACTACACTACTACACTGCTACAACACTACACTGCTACAACACTACACTGCTACAACACTACACTACTACACTGCTACAACACTACACTGCTACACTACTACACTGCTACAACACCACACTGCTACACTACTACACTGCTACAACACTACACTGCTACACTACTACACTGCTACACTGCTACACTACTACACTGCTACACTACTACACTGCTACACTACTACACTGCTACAACACTACACTGCTACACTACTACACTGCTACACTACTACACTACTACACTACTACACTGCTGCACCGTTGCACCATTACACTAGTCCACTATTACATAGAGGAGGTGATGAGGAGGTGTTGGAGCAGACATTGGGAGACCTCCCCCTCACACAGTTGGGCTGTTGTGTGTCAGAACTCTGGGGAGAGAATGAGCTCCACTGTGTTTACTGAACATACAAACTACTATACAATGGACTTCTCCTCTGTCCTCTATCTCCTCTCTCTCTCTCCTCTCTCTCTCCTCTCTCTCCTCTCTCTCTCCTCTATCTCCTCTATCTCCTCTCCTCTCTCTCTCTCTCCTCTATCTCCTCTCCTCTCTTCTTTCTGCTCTCTCTTCTCTCTTTCCTCTCGCCCTCCTCTCTCTTCTCTCTCTCCTCTCTCCTTTCTGCTCTCTCTCCTCTCTTCTCTCTCCCTCCTCTCTCTCCTCTCTCCTTTCTGCTCTCTCTTCTCTCTTTCCTCTCTCTCCTCTCTTCTCTCTCCTCTCTCCTTTCTGCTCTCTCTCCTCTCTTCTCTCTCCCTCCTCTCTCTTCTCTCTCTCCTCTCTCCTTTCTGCTCTCTCTTCTCTCTTTCCTCTCTCTCCTCTCTCCTTTCTGCTCTCTCTCCTCTCTTCTCTCTCCCTCCTCTCTCTCCTCTCTCCTTTCTGCTCTCTCTTCTCTCTTTCCTCTCTCTCCTCTCTCCTTTCTGCTCTCTCTCCTCTCTTCTCTCTCCCTCCTCTCTCTCCTCTCTCCTTTCTGCTCTCTCTTCTCTCTTCCTCTCTCTCCTCTCTCTCCTCTCTCCTCTGTCCGCCCTCCTCTCTCTCTCCTCTCTCCTCTCTCCTCTCTTCTCTCTTCTCTCTCCTCTCCTCTCTCTCTCCTCCCTCTCTTCTCTCCTCTGTCCGCTCTCCTCTCTACTGAAAACATCACTCTAGTTTATGAAGAATTGTCAGTTAAAAAATTATATTTGGTCTCACTCTTGTCTCTCTTGTCTGTATCTCCCTGGTTTCTCTCTGGATCTCTCTCGTCTGTCCCTCTCTCTTTTGTGTCTTTCTGGGCTCTCTCTTTCTGGTCTTGCTCTGGTCTCTCTCTCTCTCTGGTGTCTCTCTCCCTCCTCTGGTCTCTCTTGTCTCTCTGTTTTTCTCTGGTCTCTCGCTCCCTCTCTTGTCTATCCTCTGATCTCTCTCTCTCTCTGGTTTTTCCTTCCTGGTCTCTCTGAGGTAATGTGTTTTTTTTGCCAGTGATCTTGGACTTTTCTGGACATTAATTAACATTTCTGGACATTGGTCAACTTTTTAAATCTCTGATCTGACCCTAAAACCAACCAAACAATGTGATGAACGTACATCAGAAATAACTGGTCCCAAGACTCATCCCTGTGGGACCCCTTATTGTCACAGATCGAACCCAAACCCCATTTTGCATGTTCACCCACCTGAAGGGAATGCAGTGGTGTTGTGTTTGGTGGAGCAGTCTGTAGTCATTTGTGATGTTTTTGGCCGTGGGCGGAGCCTGGTAAACCCGGTGACCTCTGCAGAGTTTAGCACTAAGCTCCCAGAAGGATTGGACCTGACACACATTTCAGCTGTCAAAGAATCTGAATGTTCCTGAACCGCGGAGGACAGTGTTTACAGCGGGTTCAGGACAAAAACACTGGATTTAAGTGGTATTTCCTCTGTTTCTGTTCATGGTGTTTCTGTTCATGGTGTGAGTCAGTACACAATGTGCTTTAATGAAATGCTGTCGAACAAGCAGAGTCAGTGCAGACGGGTGTGGAAATACAAATGTACAGTTTAAGCAGTAATATCTGGTCTCTGGTCTCTCTCTTGTCTCTCTCTGGTTTCTCTCTGGTCTCTCTCTGGTCTCTCTCTGGTCTCTCTCTGGTCTCTCTCTCTGGTCTCTCTCTGGTCTCTCTCTGGTCTCTCTCTGGTCTCTCTCTGGTCTCTCTCTGGTCTCTCTCTCTGGTCTCTCTCTGGTCTCTCTCTGGTCTCTCTCTGGTCTCTCTCTGGTCTCTCTCTCTGGTCTCTCTCTGGTCTCTCTCTGGTCTCTCTCTCTGGTCTCTCTCTCTGGTCTCTCTCTGGTCTCTCTCTGGTCTCTCTTTGGTCTCTCTTTGGTCTCTCTCTGGTTTCTCTCTGGTCTCTGGTCTCTCTCTGGTCTCTCTCTGGTCTCTGGTCTCTCTCTGGTCTCTCTCTGGTCTCTCTCCGGTCTCTCTCTGGTCTCTCTCTGGTCTCCCTCTGGTCTCTCTCTGGTCTCTGTATGAGAGAGACCATAATATGGAACCAGCTGAAAGGCGTTGGTACAAGTGAAAGAACATTTTCTTTTGGAATCTAATATTGAGGATTCCTGAATCCTCTCGACCACACCTTAATAACTGACTTTACTCCTGGTCAAGTGAGCACAGGTACTCATGTGGTTTAGGACCTGTTGCCCAACTGGTTTCAGATGGTTGGCACATGGTATGTTTGCATGAACTGTCAAACTACTGTTTACAAGAATACATAGTTTTAGAGTTTTATTACTTACAATAAGTAAAGACATTAAATACTGTTTGAGACAAACAATTAATAACTCCTTTGTATTTTAGTAACTTTACTTTCTGCGCCGTAACTCCGCTGCCACAGCCTGTACACAGATGGACAATGCTAACCCGCTAGCTCAATGACGCCCAAAAGGGAAGTGCTCATGGAAGAAGTTTGGCTTCTATTGACTTAAAAGTAAGAGTAAAAGTAGACTCTGCTCGGTAACGTTTGTCTCAGGTCTCTGTCCTGAAGTCCTCTCACATTAGTCCTGGTCTCAGGTCTCTGTCCTGAAGTCCTCTCACAATAGTCCTGGTCTCAGGTCTCTGTCCTCAAGTCTTCTCACATTAGTCCTGGTCTCAGGTCTCTGTCCTGAAGTCCTCTCACATTAGTCCTGGTCTCAGGTCTCTGTCCTGAAGTCCTCTCACATTAGTCCTGGTCTCAGGTCTCTGTCCTGAAGTCCTCTCACATTAGTCCTGGTCTCAGGTCTCTGTCCTGAAGTCCTCTCACATTAGTCCTGGTCTCAGGTCTCTGTCCTGAAGTCCTCTCACATTAGTCCTGGTCTCAGGTCTCTGTCCTGAGGTCCTCTCACATTAGTCCTGGTCTCAGGTCTCTGTCCTGAAGTCCTCTCACATTAGTCCTGGTCTCAGGTCTCTGTCCTGAAGTCCTCTCACATTAGTCCTGGTCTCAGGTCTCTGTCCTGAAGTCCTCTCACATTAGTCCTGGTCTCAGGTCTCTGTCCTGAAGTCCTCTCACATTAGTCCTGGTCTCAGGTCTCTGTCCTGAAGTCCTCTCACATTAGTCCTGGTCTCAGGTCTCTGTCCTGAAGTCCTCTCACATTAGTCCTGGTCTCAGGTCTCTGTCCTGAAGTCCTCTCACATTAGTCCTGGTCTCAGGTCTCTGTCCTGAAGTCCTCTCACATTAGTCCTGGTCTCAGGTCTCTGTCCTGAAGTCCTCTCACATTAGTCCTGGTCTCAGGTCTCTGTCCTGAAGTCCTCTCACATTAGTCCTGGTCTCAGGTCTCTGTCCTGAAGTCCTCTCACATTAGTCCTGGTCTCAGGTCTCTGTCCTGAAGTCCTCTCACATTAGTCCTGGTCTCAGGTCTCTGTCCTGAAGTCCTGTGCCTCTGAGATGCACCAAACTACATCTGTGACATGTTAGTGCCATATGAACCATCTGAGGAGCACAGGGACTGGCCTCCTGCTGGGACTCTGAGGAGCACAGGGACTGGCCTCCTGCTGGGACTCTGAGGAGCACAGGGACTGGTCTCCTGCTGGGACTCTGAGGAGCACAGGGACTGGGCTCCTGCTGGGACTCTGAGGAGCACAGGGACTGGGCTCCTGCTGGGACTCTGAGGAGCACAGGGACTGGCCTCCTGCTGGGACTCTGAGGAGCACAGGGACTGGCCTCCTGCTGGGACTCTGAGGAGCACAGGGACTAGGCTCCTGCTGGTCCCAGAGTCAGGACTAAACACGAGGAGGCAGCGTTCCAGACTCATGCAGCTAAAATCTGCATCAGTCTTCCTGAAGATGTGAGACAGACCTCTTCTCTGACAATGTTCCAATAAAGGTTCTGTTTCTGCAACAAACTGAAGGATCTAGCTTTACAGTGATGCTGTTTCCATGGTGATGTCTGATCCCTGTGAGTGTACGACCTGTGCTATACATTTAAACTGTGTGTGTCTTTTGTCCACAGGCTTTCAAAGACATGCTGTACGCTGCTCAGGACCAGGCTCCGTCTATCGAAGGTACAACTGTGGATGAAGGAGAGAGACCAGAAAGAGAGACCAGAGAGACCAGAGAGAGAGACCAGAGAGAGAGACCAGAGAGAGAGACCAGAGAGAGAGACCAGAGAGAGAGACCAGAGAGAGAGACCAGAGAGAGAGAGAGAGAGAGACCAGAGAGAGAGACCAGAGAGAGAGACCAGAGAGAGAGACCAGAGAGAGAGACCAGAGAGAGAGACCAGAGAGAGAGACCAGAGAGACCAGAGAGAGACCAGAGAGAGAGACCAGAGAGAGAGACCAGAGAGAGAGACCAGAGAGAGAGACCAGAGAGAGAGACCAGAGAGAGAGACCAGAGAGAGAGACCAGAGAGAGAGACCAGAGAGAGAGACCAGAGAGAGACCAGAGAGAGAGGCCAGAGAGAGAGACCAGAGAGAGAGACCAGAGAGAGACCAGAGAGAGACCAGAGAGAGACCAGAGAGAGACCAGAGAGAGACCAGAGAGAGACCAGAGAGAGAGACCAGAGAGAGACCAGAGAAGAGACCAGAGAGAGACCAGAGAGAGACCAGAGAGAGACCAGAGAGAGACCAGAGAGAGACCAGAGAGAGACCAGAGAGAGACCAGAGAGAGACCCAGAGAGAGACCAGAGAGAGAGACCAGAGAGAGACCAGAGAGAGACCAGAGAGAGAGAACAGAGAGAGAGAGACAAGGTAGAGATTTCTACCTTGTGCCCAAACATTGTAAAACCAGCCTCTTCAGTCTTTCCGGATCGTTCTGTTGTTATTGTTTAAACATCTCCTTCAGCTGCAAACAACCACCATGTTTTCATGCTGTTGTTTCTCTTCTCTTCCAACGCGACCGAGCCGTGGACTGAGGCTGTAGATCCAGGACTGAGGCCGTAGACCCAGGACTGAGGCCGTAGACCCAGGACTGAGGCCGTAGACCCAGGACTGAGGCCGTAGACCCAGGACTGAGGCCGTAGACCCAGGACTGAGGCCGTAGACCCAGGACTGAGGCCGTAGACCCAGGACTGAGGCCGTAGACCCAGGACTGAGAATGACAGATAATGCTTTTGTCTGAGTGTTTGGTGAAAATGCTGATGAAGTCATGACGGTGAATAATTACGATGTGAGAAACGAGTCTGAGCGTGTGGCGTGAGCTGAGTTTCCTTTGGTCTCGCTCTGGTCTTGCTCTGGTCCCATCAGTCTCTGTGTTCAGTGGAATCTCACTCTGTCCCGTGTTGCATAAGCATCTGTGCTGAACATCCCATAATAGTCCTGCAGCGGCCGGCCACTATTGACGCGCTCTCTGGTCTCTCTCTGGTCTCTCTCTGGTCTCTCTCTGGTCTCTCTATTCTCTGATCTCTCTCTGGTCTCTCTCTGGTCTCTCTATTCTCTGATCTCTCTCTGGTCCCTCTCTGGTCTCTCTCTGGTCTCTCTATTCTCTGATCTCTCTCTGGTCTCTCTCTGGTCTCTCTCTGATCTCTCTCTGATCTCTCTCTGATCTCTCTCTGATCTCTCTCTGGTCTCTCTCTGGTCTCTCTCTGGTCTCTCTCTCTGGTCTCTCTCTGGTCTCTCTCTGGTCTCTCTCTGGTCTCTTTCTGGTCTCTCTTTGGTCTCTGGTCTCTCTCTGGTCTCTCTCTGGGTCTATTCTCTGGTCTCTCTCTGGTCTCTCTCTGGTCTCTCTCTGGTCTCCTTCTGGTCTCTCTTTGGTCTCTGGTCTCTCTCTGGTCTTTCTATTCTCTGGTCTCTCTCTGGTCTCCTTCTGGTCTCTCTTTGGTCTCTGGTCTCTCTCTGGTCTCTCTCTCTGGTCTCTCTCTGGCCTCTATCTGGTTTCTCTCTGATCTCTCTCTGATCTCTCTCTGGTCTCTTTCTGGTCTCTTTCTGGTCTCTCTCTGGTCTCTTTCTGGTCTCTCTTTGGTCTCTGGTCTCTCTCTGGTCTTTCTATTCTCTGGTCTCTCTCTGGCCTCTATCTGGTCTCTCTCTGGTCTCTCTCTGGTCTCTCTCTGGTCTCTCTCTCTGGTCTCTCTCTGGTCTCTCTCTTGTCTCTCTCTGGTCTCTCTCTGGTCTCCCTCTGGTCTCCCTCTGGTCTCCCTCTGGTCTCTCTCTGGTCTCTCTCTGGTCTCTCTCTCTGGTCTCTCTCTGGTCTCTCTCTGGTCTCCCTCTGGGCTCTCTCTGGTCTCTCTCTGGTCTCTCTCTGGTCTCTCTCTGGTCTCTCTCTGGTCTCTCTCTGGTCTCTCTCTGGTCTCTCTCTGGTCTCTCTCTTGTCTCTCTCTGGTCTCTCTCTGGTCTCCCTCTGGTCTCTCTCTGGTCTCTCTCTGGTCTCTCTCTGGTCTCTCTCTGGTCTCCCTCTGGTCTCTCTCTGGTCTCTCTCTGGTCTCTCTCTGGTCTCTCTCTGGTCTCTCTCTGGTCTCTCTCTGGTCTCTCTCTGGTCTCTCTCTGGTCTCTCTCTTGTCTCTCTCTGGTCTCCCTCTGGTCTCCCTCTGGTCTCTCTCTCTGGTCTCTCTCTAGTCTCTCCTCCACATATAGACTGTTCCTTATAAATATAGTTTTTAAATAATTCCTCAGTGACTAAGAAGCACTGGTCTCAGTCTCAGGGATTTTCCATTGTCTACCATCGACCATACCATCACCTGCTTATTACGGAGCTTCCTGGTGTTTTCCTGGTCCCATGACTGTTGTGTTTGCACGGGCTCAGGACATGGCATGGAACACTACGTCATGAGGGTTACCTGTAATTGGACTAGACACAATTAGCAGACCACAAAGACACTAAAGTCCTCTGCTCACAACAGAACCATGTGTACCTCTGTGGGGAAATGTCTGGGTTGCAGCGCACTAACACATGATATGAGACATTTATAAACATTTCTGCTTCCTGTGTGTTATTGAATATACTGAGTTCAAACTCTTTGATTCTCTGGTCTCTCTCTCTGGTCTCTCTCTGGTCTCTCTCTCTGCTCTCTCTTTGTTCTCTCTCTGCTCTCTCTCTTTGGTCCCTCTCTGGTCTCTCTTTGGTCTCTCTCTGCTCTCTCTTTGTTCTCTCTCTGCTCTCTCTCTCTGGTCTCTCTTTGTTCTCTCTCTGCTCTCTCTCTCTCTGGTCTCTCTCTCTCTTCTTTTTCTCTCTCTGCTCTCTCTCTTCTCTCTCTTGGTCCTCTCTGCTCTTTTCTCTCTCTCTCTGCTTCTCTCTCTGTCTCTCTTGTTCTCTCTCTCTCTCTGGTCTCTCTCTGGTCTCTCTCTGCTCTCTCTTTGTTCTCTCTCTGCTCTCTCTCTTTGGTCCCTCTCTGCTCTCTCTTTGTTCTCTCTCTGCTCTCTCTCTCTGTTCTCTCTCTGCTCTCTCTCTCTGCTCTCTCTCTTTGGTCCCTCTCTGGTCTCTCTTTGGTCTCTCTCTGCTCTCTCTTTGTTCTCTCTCTGCTCTCTCTCTCTGGTCTCTCTTTGTTCTCTCTCTGCTCTCTCTCTCTGGTCTCTCTCTCTGGTCTCTCTCTGGTCTCTCTCTGCTCTCTCTTTGTTCTCTCTCTGCTCTCTCTCTTTGGTCCCTCTCTGCTCTCTCTTTGTTCTCTCTCTGCTCTCTCTCTCTGTTCTCTCTCTGCTCTCTCTCTCTGCTCTCTCTCTTTGGTCTCTCTCTCTGCTCTCTCTCTCTGCTCTCTCTCTCTGCTCTCTCTCTGCTCTCACTCTGAGTTCTATGGTACTTTTTTCTGCGTAGACTGTGTGAGTTTAGTCTTTAGTACCACAGCGCCCCCTGTGGCCGTGGGTGGGACAGCTATAAGCCACTGCAGTATCCAGATGTTACAGATCAGTGGAATATGGAGAAGGTGACTAGAGTCAGAGATGTTTACGGCGAGCACAGGCCCAGTGCTGTTTGCCTCGTCATTGTTTGTAAGGTTTACTGTAACTTCTGAAACTAGCATTATGTTAATTATGTGAACCTGAAACTAGCATTTTGTTAATTATGTGAAACTGTTTTGCAGCGACTCTCTGAGCCGTAATCCCAGTGTTTAAGATAGTTCCTGAGTGTGAGAGAGTCAGCGGGCGTTCCTGCCAAAGCAAGAGCAAAAACAACTATTGTACCAAAGTATAGAGCAGCAGCATCAGCAGACATGTCATAATGTGGTAATGACCATCTGGGAGAGGCACCAGGGGAGACGGCACCAGGAGGACCAGGAGCGAGTCAGCGGGCACACTGGGACACGCACCTCTGCTTACATGTGGACGCACACACACGCACGCTAACACACACACACACACACACAATCCAGGACACTTGACATTCTACATGTATGACATTGGTCTCTCCCTATGGTCCAATACCATGTGGTCTCTCACTGTGGTCTCTCGCTATGGTTCAATACTATGTGGTCTCTCCCTATGGTCCAATACCATGTGGTCTCGCTCTATGGTCCAATACCATGTGGTCTCTCTGTGGTCCAATACCATGTGGTCTCTCTGTGGTCCAATACCATGTGGTCTCTCTGTGGTCCAATACCATGTGGTCTCTCTGTGGTCCAATACCATGTGGTCTCTCTGTGGTCCAATACCATGTGGTCTCTCTGTGGTCCAATACTATGTGGTCTCTCTGTGGTCCAATACCATGTGGTCTTGCTCTATATTAAATATATATATACAGTAGGGATGCACCGATCCGATACTGGTATCGATATCGGCGCCGATACCAGAACAAATCCTGGATCGTATATCTGCGTAGAGAGAGGCGCCGTGCTGCCGATCCATTTTCTTTTCTTTGTTTTTTTTTTATTATATATATTTTTTAATACATACCAGGTACCGCACAATGTGTTAAAATACATTGTGCATAATGTACATATACGTATAAAATGAATGAATTAAAAGTATCAGATGTGACACTTCCTCGTGGCGCTCTACAACAACAACACAGCGTGGAGCAGGAAAGAGCGTTGTTCTCGCGGCGGTAAACCAGAGAAATACAACACGACTAAGCACCACGAGAAACAGCACGGGGAGTTTCTGCATCGAGAGGAGATGACGTGAAAACAACGAGACACAGATGACACTGACGCAGCGTCACAAAAAGCTTTTCAGCAACAACCCCAAAGTGTTGGAGTTCATCATGGGCTCGCAGCCCCATAGACCATTTGGAACCCAGGTCCATGCCGTCGCCAAATACATATCTGAAATCCACTTAAAGCTACGGTACTATTATTTATTTACATTTTCATGCAGCGTGTTTTGTTCTAAGTGTTTTTTTATTCAAACACAGTTAATATAAGTACATTTATATTCAGTAAATGTAAAAGGTATAATACAGTGTTGAATGTTTAATGTGAACATTGAGCAGCTCTTTATAGTTCAGTATTGCACATTTATGTTGAATCCATTTTTATCTGGAAAGTTTAGCTTTAGTTCATCCACTGCTTTTGCAGTTACTTGAACAAACAGTTCAATTATTAAATACATTTTAGCATGATCAATATCGGTATCGGTCAATATCGGTATCGGCAGAAACCCATAGCTCTGGTATCGGTATCGTAGTAAAAAAGCTGGATCGGTGCATCTCTAATATACAGTATATATAAAATGTGTGTATGTATATGTGTATATACATATATATATATATATATATATATATAGGATGACATCCTGTAGACTGATGTGCTGCTGTAGCGCCCCCTGCTGGCCTCTTCCACATCACACTCTGGGCTCTTGTGTTTCAGTCACAGATGAAGACACGGTCAAAAGGTACTACGCCAAATTTGAAGAGATGTTTTTCCAAACATGTGAGAAGGAGCTGGCCAAGATCAACACCTTCTACTCCGGTAAGACACACTCCCTTTACTGACATCTGCAGTAAAACCACATTGGAATAACTGCTCAAGTACAACATTAAAACAAGATACAAAGTACAGTAAACAACAAAAACAGATTCAATACAAAGATTATTAAATTACTTTGTTCAGACTAATAACACCTGAGAGAAGCTATTAGCATGTTAGCATGTTAGCATGTTAGCATATCCAGATGTCCTGCAGCCAATGATATCTTCTCCCAGAGGGAAGAAGCTGGAACATGGCTTTTCCAGGGGCTAGAAGAGTCAGTGACTATTCTAAGATCTGGATTTAAGTCTGTAAAGAACCTCCAGAACAGACTGGTCTCTCTCTCTGGTCTCTCTCTCTGGTCTCTCTCTCTGGTCTCTCTCTGGTCCCTCTCTGGTCCCTCTCTGGTCCCTCTCTGGTCCCTCTCTGGTCCCTCTCTGGTCCCTCTCTGGTCCCTCTCTGGTCTCTCTCTGGTCTCTGTGGACTAGAGATGGACAGATCTATCGTTGCTTGAAGGTGCAATAAGTTTATAATGGATGTATTTGGACATCTAACCCATTGTCTCTCCCTCCCTCACCCTCCCTCCCCCTCCCTCCCCCTCTCTCCCCCCTCCCTCCCCCACAGAGAAGCTTGCCGAGGCCCAGCGCCGGTTCGCCACGCTGCAGAACGAGCTGCAGTCGTCGCTGGACGCTCAGAGAGAGAGCGCCGCCATCGGCCTCAGACGCAGGAAGACGGTGTTCGCTCTGAGTCAGAAAGAACGCTGCAAACACCGCAACATAAAAGACCTGCAGCTCGCCTTCTCCGAGTTCTACCTCAGCCTCATCCTGCTGCAGAACTATCAGGTACCTCCTGCTGCTGCAGAACTATCAGGTACCTCCTGCTACTGCTGCAGAACTATCAGGTACCTCCTGCTACTGCTGCAGAACTATCAGGTACCTCCTCCTGCTGCTGCAGAACTATCAGGTACCTCCTGCTGCTGCAGAACTATCAGGTACCTCCTGCTGCTGCAGAACTATCAGGTACCTCCTGCTACTGCAGAACTATCAGGTACCTCCTGCTGCTGCTGCAGAACTATCAGGTACCTCCTGCTACTGCTGCAGCACTATCAGGTACCTCCTGCTACTGCTGCAGCACTATCAGGTACCTCCTGCTACTGCTGCAGAACTATCAGGTACCTCCTCCTGCTGCTGCAGAACTATCAGGTACCTCCTGCTGCTGCAGAACTATCAGGTACCTCCTGCTGCTGCAGAACTATCAGGTACCTCCTGCTACTGCTGCAGAACTATCAGGTACCTCCTGCTGCTGCTGCAGAACTATCAGGTACCTCCTGCTGCTGTAGAACTATCAGGTACCTCCTGCTGCTGCAGAACTATCAGGTACCTCCTGCTGCTGTAGAACTATCAGGTACCTCCTGCTGCTGCAGAACAATCGGGTACCTCCTGCTGCTGTAGAACAATCGGGTACCTCCTGCTGCACAAGTTAGGATGAAGGACACACACTAAGCTCACCATAACTCACCAAACTTAACACAATGCTCCACACATGGTTCCCTGGTACCGACCATCGTAGAACTAAAGCTTGAGTGTCTTCTGAGGAGGGCCGGGCGAGAGGTTTAAAACCAGGACATCAGGGACCAGACTGGCCCCAATATGTTACACCCGAGAGACGAGCCCCAATATGTTACACCCAAGAGACGAGCCTCAATATGTTACACCCAAGAGACGAGAACAATATGTTACACCCGAGAGACGAGCCCCAATATGTTACACCCGAGAGACGAGAACAATATGTTACACCCGAGAGACGAGCCCCAATATGTTACACCCGAGAGACGAGAACAATATGTTACACCCGAGAGACGAGAACAATATGTTACACCCGAGAGACGAGCCCCAATATGTTACACCCGAGAGACGAGCCCCAATATGTTACACCCGAGAGACGAGCCCCAATATGTTACACCCGAGAGACGAGCCCCAATATGTTACACCCGAGAGACGAGCCCCAATATGTTACACCCGAGAGACGCCCAATATGTTACACCCGAGAGACGAGAACAATATGTTACACCCGAGAGACGAGCCCAATATGTTACACCCGAGAGACGAGAACAATATGTTACACCCGAGAGACGAGAACAATATGTTACACCCGAGAGACGAGCCCCAATATGTTACACCCGAGAGACGAGCCCCAATATGTTACACCCGAGAGACGAGAACAATATGTTACACCCGAGAGACGAGCCCAATATGTTACACCCGAGAGACGAGAACAATATGTTACACCCGAGAGACGAGCCCCAATATGTTACACCCGAGAGACGAGCCCAATATGTTACACCCGAGAGACGAGCCCCAATATGTTACACCCGAGAGACGAGCCCCAATATGTTACACCCGAGAGACGAGCCCCAATATGTTACACCCGAGAGACGAGAACAATATGTTACACCCGAGAGACGAGCCCCAATATGTTACACCCGAGAGACGAGAACAATATGTTACACCCGAGAGACGAGAACAATATGTTACACCCGAGAGACGAGAACAATATGTTACACCCGAGAGACGAGCCCCAATATGTTACACCCGAGAGAGACGAACAATATGTTACACCCGAGAGACGAGCCCAATATGTTACACCCGAGAGACGAGCCCCAATATGTTACACCCGAGAGACGAGCCCCAATATGTTACACCCGAGAGACGAGCCCCAATATGTTACACCCGAGAGACGAGCCCCAATATGTTACACCCGAGAGACGAGCCCCAATATGTTACACCCGAGAGACGAGCCCCAATATGTTACACCCGAGAGACGAGCCCCATATGTTACACCCGAGAGACGAGAACAATATGTTACACCCGAGAGACGAGAACAATATGTTACACCCGAGAGACGAGAACAATATGTTACACCCGAGAGACGAGAACAATATGTTACACCCTGGCTGGTCAGAGTCGTGCTCTGGCAGTTCTAGTGTACCCCAGCCCTCTGCCCCCTGACCTCTGACCCCTGCCTTCTGACTCCCGACTCCTGACCTCTGCCCCCTGACATCTGCCCTCTGACCTCTAACCCCTAATCTCTGACTCCTGACTCCTGACCTCTGCCCCCTGCCCTCTGACCTCCGACCTCTGACCTCTGTCCAGAACCTGAACTTCACGGGCTTCAGGAAGATCCTAAAGAAACATGACAAGATCCTGGAGACGTCCAGAGGAGCCGACTGGAGAGTGGCTCATGTGGAGGTGGCTCCTTTCTACACCTGCAAGAAGATCACACAGCTCATCTCAGAGACCGAGGTACAGTACCAGACCAGGACCTGGACCAGGACCCAGACCATGACCCAGACCCAGACCCAGACTGGTCCTGGGTCCAGGATAATATTTGATCAGTTTTAGAACATGTTGGATTATTCGGTTTATGTTCAGGATGTGTGTGTTTCTGTTTTTTAAAAAGGTTTCACTTGAAATGAGCCATTGGACCAGTTTGAACCAGTCGTCTGTATTTGACTTTGACCTTTGACCTCCCGGATCTAGAACATTGGCCTAAAGGTCATTCTGGTGATTTACATGTTTTAAGGCGGGAAAGTCCTTTAACTGATAGATCCTGTGTGTGTTGTTGTGTGTCATGTTAAACCTGTGTGTGTTGTTTTGTGGTGCAGGCTCTGGTGACCACGGAGCTGGAAGGAGGAGACCGACAGAAGGCCATGAAGAGGCTGAGAGTACCTCCTCTGGGAGCAGCACAGGTCTCTACTCTGAATACACACTGAGAGAGACCAGAGAGAGAGACCAGAGAGAGACCAGAGAGAGACCAGAGAGAGACCAGAGAGAGAGACCAGAGAGAGAGACCAGAGAGAGAGACCAGAGAGAGAGACCAGAGAGAGAGACCAGAGAGAGAGACCAGAGAGAGAGACCAGAGAGAGACCAGAGAGAGACCAGAGAGAGCGAGACCGAGACCAGAGAGAGCGAGACCAGAGAGGGCGAGACCAGAGAGGGCGAGACCAGAGAGGGCGAGACCAGAGAGGGCGAGACCAGAGAGGGCGAGACCAGAGAGGGCGAGACCAGAGAGGGCGAGACCAGAGAGGGCGAGACCAGAGAGGGCGAGACCAGAGAGGGCGAGACCAGAGAGGGCGAGACCAGAGAGGGCGAGACCAGAGAGGGCGAGACCAGAGAGGGCGAGACTAGAGATAGAGAGACCAGAGAGACCAGAGAGAGACCATGAAACAGCGAGACCATATGAGGGACCTTTGGTCTCTCTGGCTCAGGACCTGTTACTACAGACTGTGGTCACATGGTACACTTCCTGTTGTGCTCGCCACAAATCAAATCAACTGCATTAGATTTAAGTAAATTACACGTCAGAGCGACTGCAGCTCAGTGACCTCATCCAGACCAGAGGAGGACCAGAGCTGGGACTCTGAGGAACACAGGGACTGGCCTCCTGCTGGGACTCTGAGGAGCACAGGGACTGTCCTCCTGCTGGGACTGAGGAGCACAGGGACTGGCCTCCTGCTGGTCCCAGAGTCAGGACTAAACATGAGGAGGCAGTGTTTCAGATTCATGCTAAAACCTGGAACAGTCTTCCTGAAAGTGTGAGACAGACTTCTTCTCTGATAAAGTTCAAATCTGGAACAATGAAGGACCTTTAGTCTTTCTACTGTGATTACTGATGATATTTCTTTGTGTATGACCGTTACTAATAATCGGTGTGTGCCGCAGCCTCCTCCTGCCTGGACCACGTTCAGAGTGGGGCTGTACTGCGGGGTGTTCCTGGTCCTCGTGGTCACCGTGGTCATAGCAGGAGCCGTTCTGATCCGCAACAACGACGTGTGGCCCATGATCCGCATCTACAGAGGAGGCTTCCTGCTCATCGAGTTCCTCTTCCTCTTAGGTACATTTATATATACTGTATATATAATGTATATAATATATATTTATATATTGTATGTTTGTACAGAGTTCCTCTTCCTCTTAGGTACATTTATATATACTGTATATATAATGTATATAATATATATTTATATATTGTATGTTTGTACAGAGTTCCTCTTCCTCTTAGGTACATTTATATATACTGTATATATAATGTATATAATATATATTTATATATTGTACGTTTGTACAGAGTTCCTCTTCCTCTTAGGTACATTTATATATACTGTATATAATGTATATAATATATATTTATATATTGTACGTTTGTACAGAGTTCCTCTTCCTGTTGATATATAAATATATATATGTATATTTATAATCTAAAAATGTATACATATAATATTATAATGCACAGGGAGCAGGGCCGCTGCAGGAGGTGTCCTCACTCTGTCCTCACTCTGTCCTCACTCTGTCCTCACACTGTCCACACACTCTGTCCTCACACTCTGTCCTCACTCTGTCCTCACACTGTCCTCACTCTGTCCTCACACTGTCCTCACACTGTCCTCACACTGTCCTCACTCTGTCCACACACTCTGTCCTCACACTGTCCTCACACTGTCCTCACTCTGTCCTCACTCTATCCACACACTCTGTCCTCACACTGTCCTCACTCTGTCCTTACTCTGTCCTCACACTCTGTCCTCACTCTGTCCTCACTCTGTCCTCACTCTGTCCTCACTCTGTCTCCACTCTGTCCTCACTCTGTCCTCACTCTGTCTCACACTGTCCTCACTCTGTCCTCACACTGTCCCACACTGTCCTCACACTCTGTCCCACACTCTGTCCTCACTCTGTCCTCACTCTGTCCTCACACTGTCCTCACTCTGTCCTCACACTGTCCTCACTCTGTCCTCACTCTGTCCTCACTCTGTCCTCACTCTGTCCTCACTCTGTCCTCACTCTGTCCTCACTCTGTCCTCACACTGTCCTCACTCTGTCCTCACACTGTCCACACACTCTGTCCTCACACTCTGTCCTCACACTGTCCTCACACTGTCCTCACACTGTCCTCACACTGTCCTCACTCTGTCCTCACTCTGTCCTCACTCTGTCCTCACTCTGTCCTCACTCTGTCCTCACACTGTCCACACACTCTGTCCTCACACTCTGTCCTCACACTCTGTCCTCACACTGTCCACACACTCTGTCCTCACTCTGTCCTCACACTGTCCACACACTCTGTCCTCACACTCTGTCCTCACACTCTGTCCTCACACTGTCCTCACTCTGTCCTCACACTCTGTCCTCACACTCTGTCCTCACACTCTGTCCTCACTCTGTCCTCACTCTGTCCTCACACTGTCCTCACTCTGTCCTCACTCTGTCCTCACTCTGTCCTCACACTGTCCTCACTCTGTCCTCACTCTGTCCTCACACTGTCCTCACTCTGTCCTCACACTGTCCTCACACTCTGTCCTCACACTCTGTCCTCACACTGTCCTCACACTGTCCTCACTCTGTCCTCACACTGTCCTCACACTCTGTCCTCACACTCTGTCCTCACACTGTCCTCACTCTGTCCTCACTCTGTCCACACTCTGTCCTCACACTCTGTCCTCACACTGTCCTCACTCTGTCCTCACACTGTCCTCACACTGTCCTTACACTCTGTCCTCACTCTGTCCTCACACTCTGTCCTCACTCTGTCCTCACACTCTGTCCTCACTCTGTCCTCACACTATCCTCACTCTGTCCTCACACTGTCTCCACTCTGTCCTCACTCTGTCCTCACTCTGTCCTCACTCTGTCCACACTCTGTCCTCACTCTGTCCTCACTCTGTCCTCACACTGTCCTCACACTGTCCTCACACTGTCCTCACACTCTGTCCTCACTCTGTCCTCACACTCTGTCCTCACTCTGTCCTCACACTCTGTCCTCACTCTGTCCTCACACTGTCCTCACACTGTCCTCACACTGTCCTCACTCTGTCCACACTCTGTCCTCACTCTGTCCTCACTCTGTCCTCACACTGTCCACACTCTGTCCTCACACTCTGTCCTCACTCTGTCCTCACACTCTGTCCTCACTCTGTCCTCACACTGTCCTCACACTCTGTCCTCACTCTGTCCTCACACTCTGTCCTCACACTGTCCTCACATTCTGTCCTCACACTCTGTCCTCACACTGTCCTCACATTCTGTCCTCACTCTGTCCTCACTCTGTCCACACTCTGTCCTCACACTGTCCTCACACTCTGTCCTCACATTCTGTCCTCACTCTGTCCTCACTCTGTCCTCACACTGTCCTCACACTCTGTCCTCACACTGTCCTCACTCTGTCCTCACTCTGTCCTCACTCTGTCCTCACTCTGTCCTCACTCTGTCCTCACTCTGTCCTCACTCTGTCCTCACTCTGTCCTCACTCTGTCCTCACTCTGTCCTCACACTGTCCTCACTCTGTCCTCACACTGTAAGTAAGTAAGTAGTAAGTAAGTATTTATTTATATACCGCCTTTTCACTGCAGATCTGAGTCTCAAAGCGGTTTACAATTGTTAATTTTTGGGCATTTGTCTCTCACTCCACACAGAGATGGGAGCGGGGCCAGTACAGGAGGCGCATGCTAGAACTATTGGACATATTTTTAGTGGTAGGGGAAACCGGAGTACCCGGAGGAAACCTACGCAGACACGGGGAGAACATGCAAACTCCACTCAGAAAGGCCCTGGTCCGACCGGGATTCGAACCCAGGACCTTCTTGCTGAGAGGCGAGAGTGCTATCCACTCAGCCACCGTGCCGCCTCCTCACTCTGTCCTCACTCTGTCCTCACACTGTCCTCACTCTGTCCTCACTCTGTCCTCACTCTGTCCTCACACTGTCCTCTGTCCTCACTCTGTCCTCACTCTGTCCTCACACTCTGTCCTCACACTGTCCTCACACTCTGTCCTCACACTCTGTCCTCACACTGTCCTCACACACTGTCCTCACACTCTGTCCTCACACTGTCCTCACTCTGTCCTCACTCTGTCCTCACTCTGTCCTCACACTGTCCTCACTCTGTCCTCACTCTGTCCACACTCTGTCCTCACACTGTCCTCACACTCTGTCCTCACTCTGTCCTCACACTCTGTCCTCACTCTGTCCTCACACTCTGTCCTCACATTCTGTCCTCACACTGTCCTCACACTGTCCTCACTCTGTCCTCACTCTGTCCTCACACTGTCCTCACTCTGTCCTCACTCTGTCCTCACTCTGTCCTCACACTCTGTCCTCACACTGTCCTCACTCTGTCCTCACACTGTCCTCACTCTGTCCTCACACTCTGTCCTCACACTCTGTCCTCACACTCTGTCCTCACTCTGTCCTCACACTGTCCTCACTCTGTCCTCACTCTGTCCTCACTCTGTCCTCACTCTGTCCTCACTCTGTCCTCACTCTGTCCTCACACTGTCCTCACACTCTGTCCTCACACTGTCCTCACACTGTCCTCACACTGTCCTCACACTCTGTCCTCACACTCTGTCCTCACACTCTGTCCTCACTCTGTCCTCACACTGTCCTCACTCTGTCCACACTCTGTCCACACTCTGTCCTCACACTCTGTCCTCACACTGTCCTCACTCTGTCCTCACACTGTCCTCACACTGTCCTCACACTGTCCTCACACTGTCCTCACACTGTCCTCACACTGTCCTCACTCTGTCCTCACTCTGTCCTCACACTGTCCTCACTCTGTCCTCACACTGTCCTCACTCTGTCCTCACTCTGTCCTCACACTGTCCTCACACTCTGTCCTCACACTGTCCTCACACTGTCCTCACTCTGTCCTCACACTGTCCTCACACTCTGTCCTCACACTGTCCTCACTCTGTCCTCACTCTGTCCACACTCTGTCCTCACACTCTGTCCTCACACTGTCCTCACTCTGTCCTCACACTGTCCTCACACTGTCCTTACACTCTGTCCTCACTCTGTCCTCACACTCTGTCCTCACTCTGTCCTCACACTATCCTCACTCTGTCCTCACACTGTCTCCACTCTGTCCTCACTCTGTCCTCACCTGTCCTCACACTGTCCTCACCTGTCCTCACTCTGTCCTCACTCTGTCCACACTCTGTCCCACACTCTCTGTCCCCACTCTGTCCTCACTCTGTCCTCACACTCTGTCCTCACTCTGTCCTCACACTGTCCTCACACTGTCCTCACTCTGTCCTCACTCTGTCCCACTCTGTCCTCACTCTGTCCTCACTCTGTCCTCACACTGTCCACACTCTGTCCTCACACTCTGTCCTCACACTCTGTCCTCACTCTGTCCTCACACTCTGTCCTCACTCTGTCCTCACTCTGTCCTCACTCTGTCCTCACACTCTGTCCTCACTCTGTCCTCACTCTGTCCTCACTCTGTCCACACTCTGTCCTCACACTCTGTCCCACACACTGTCCTCACACTGTCCTCACACTGTCCTCACACTGTCCTCACACTCTGTCCTCACACTGTCCTCACTCTGTCCTCACTCTGTCCTCACTCTGTCCTCACACTGTCCTCACTCTGTCCTCACTCTGTCCTCACACTCTGTCCTCACTCTGTCCTCACACTGTCCTCACTCTGTCCTCACACTCTGTCCTCACACCTGTCCTAGTCCTCACTCTGTCCTCACACTGTCCTCACCTGTCCTCACACTGTAAGTAAGTAGTAAGTAGTAAGTAAGTATTTATTTATATACCGCCTTTTCACTGCAGATCTGAGTCTCAAAGCGGTTTACAATTGTTAATTTTTGGGCATTTGTCTCTCACTCCACACAGAGATGGGAGCGGGGCCAGTACAGGAGGCGCATGCTAGAACTATTGGACATATTTTTAGTGGTAGGGGAAACCGGAGTACCCGGAGGAAACCTACGCAGACACGGGGAGAACATGCAAACTCCACTCAGAAAGGCCCTGGTCCGACCGGATTCGAACCCAGGACCTTCTTGCTGAGAGGCGAGAGTGCTATCCACTCAGCCACCGTGCCGCCTCCTCACTCTGTCCTCACTCTGTCCTCACACTGTCCTCACTCTGTCCTCACTCTGTCCTCACTCTGTCCTCACTCTGTCCTCACTCTGTCCTCACACTGTCCTCACACTGTCCTCACTCTGTCCTCACACTGTCCTCACACTGTCCTCACTCTGTCCTCACTCTGTCCTCACTCTGTCCTCACTCTGTCCTCAAGGTTTTCATTCTTAATCTAAGACATGAAATCAGCACTGCACTGTTCTGTGAACTGGGTGCAGCTGTGACTGCCACCCCCTTGACCCAGAAATGGATTAAGGGGAAGAAGATGGATGGATAGATAATATATATTATTATCATATATATATCCTTATAATTATAATATATTATTGTCAAATATCTCACCAAAGCATTACATACAGTATAATGTCATTGACACACACAGTGTTTTGTGTGTCTGTGTGTGTCTCTTTGTGTGTAAATGTGTGTCTCCTTATGTTGTGTGTCTCTGTGTGTGTGTATTTGTGTGTAAATGTGTCTCTCTCCATGTGTTTGTTGTAATTGTGTGTCTTAATGTGTTGTGTGCAGGTATTAATACCTATGGATGGCGTCAGGCCGGAGTGAACCACGTTCTGATCTTTGAGCTGAATCCAAGGAACAATCTTTCTCACCAGCATCTGTTCGAGGTCTGCATCCCATAGTAACCATGTGTCTGTATGGTTCATGGTGCCATCCCATAGTAACCATGTGTCTGTATGGTTCATGGTGCCATCCCATAGTAACCATGCGTCTGTATGGTTCATGGTGCTTCCCATAGTAACCATGTGTCTGTATGGTTCATGGTGCCATCCCATAGTAACCATGTGTCTGTATGGTTCATGGTGCCATCCCATAGTAACCATGTATCTGTATGGTTCATGGTGCCATCCCATAGTAATCATGTGTCTGTATGGTTCATGGTGCCATCCCATAGTAACCATGTGTCTGTATGGTTCATGGTGCCATCCCATAATAACCATGTGTCTGTATGGTTCATGGTGCCATCCCATAGTAACCATGTGTCTGTATCGTTCATGGTGTCATCCCATAATAACCATGTGTCTGTATGGTTCATGGTGCCATCCCATAGTAACCATGTGTCTGTATGGTTCATGGTGCCATCCCATAGTAACCATGTGTCTGTATGGTTCATGGTGTCATCCCATAGTAACCATGTGTCTGTATGGTTCATGGTGCCATCCCATAGTAACCATGCGTCTGTATGGTTCATGGTGCTTCCCATAGTAACCATGTGTCTGTATGGTTCATGGTGCCATCCCATAATAACCATGTGTCTGTATGGTTCATGGTGCCATCCCATAGTAACCATGTGTCTGTATCGTTCATGGTGTCATCCCATAATAACCATGTGTCTGTATGGTTCATGGTACCATCCCATAGTAACCATGTGTCTGTATGGTTCATGGTGCAATTCCATAATAACCATGTGTCTGTATGGTTCATGGTACCATCCCATAATAACCATGTGTCTGTATGGTTCATGGTGCCATCCCATAGTAACCATGTGTCTGTATCGTTCATGGTACCATCCCATAGTAACCATGTGTCTGTATGGTTCACGGTGCCATCCCATAGTAACCATGTGTCTGTATGGTTCATGGTGCCATCCCATAATAACCATGTGTCTGTATGGTTCATGGTGCCATCCCATAATAACCGTTTGTGTCTGTATGGTTCATGGTACCATCCCATAATAACCATGTGTTTGTATGGTTCATGGTGCCACTCCATAGTAACCATGTGTCTGTATCGTTCATGGTACCATCCCATA